AAGACACATTTGATCCTGAAAGACTGTAAAGAAGTGACTAGTGTGTGTGCTGGAGAAAAACCAAAGATACAGTGAGGTTTGATAAATTCCTTGGCCAGAAGAAAGGAGGTAGCTATAGAGATCAAAGCCCATAGGCCCTAAAGCCCAGAAGTGGAAGGAAATAAAAAAAGAAAAATAAAGTTAGAGCAAAGTAGGAAGAAAACAACTGCAATTTAAGATTTGTGCTCAAGTTGGAGAAAAAAGGACTTTGAAGTTGTTGTGAAGATTAGTAATGACTGTGATAAAAAGAAAGCAGACATACTTGTTAGACTGTTATAGCTATCTGGAGGTACTCACTACAGAGGTGAGTAGTTCTACATGGTCCCTCTCTTTAAAGTATGGAGATGTTGAAGTCTCAACTGATCTGAACTCTGAAGCTTTCTGGGAACACTGACCTGGAAGAGCAGATGAAGGCCTGTTTTCTTCTGTCATTAGTCAAGTGTTTATTGAGTTGCTGCTTTATGTAGATACTGCTGAGCTGTATAATTGTCTGTGCACAATATACTAAGCAAACTAGGTATAAATGAGTAAATGAATCATGCCATCTTTGCACTCATTTTTTTGCTACTTTATTGAGCACTTATTGTGTACTAGACACATAATATTCTAGATGCTAAGAATACAGTTGTGAACCATACAGAAATCATCCCTGCTTTCACAGAGTATACATATTAGAGGGACATTACAGCAAACATACAAATATATAATTACAGACTGGGTTAATTAAATGAAAAATAACAGGTGCTACGATATAAGCATGGAGGTGGGATCAATTTAGATGATTTGCTCTGTAAAGGGCTTTTGTTTTTTGCCATGTTTGTTGGATTTATTTTAATTTTTGCAACTTGCGTCTTGATTTTCATTTATTAGTGTCCTGGAGGGACTTTTTAAGTCTAAGAACTGAAGGATGAGTAGGAATAGCCAGGTCAGAATTGGAGCATGGTAGAGGTAGGGTTGGGGATATTGCAAATGGGGAAGACAGAATTCGTGAAACTTCTCAGATTGAGAGTTAGAGGATGGGAGGTAGAGAGGAAATTGGTATGCTTGAGGAGCTGAAACAAGACTAGTGTGGCTGGAATGCAGAGGGGGAGTGGAGTTTTACAAGATGAAGTGGAGAAATTGGTAGAGCTTCCCAAATATTTTTTTGATATGAGTTCCAAAATCCTCAAGTTTTATTGCTCTTAATTACAGGGAGAAATAGAGATTGATTTGTGGCTTGGAAAAAGTGAAAAAATGTTGGTGAATTAGAACATAATTGGTTTATGCCATAGGAAGTTTTGTTGTGGAAAGAATGTTGGCTTTGGAGTTAGAGCTAAGCTCTTCCCAGCTCTGTTTCATAATGTTGTGTGGCCTTGGGTAAATTACTAAGCCTCTCGGAGCCTCTGTTCCTTCATATATGAAATGGAGATGGTAATGCCCCTTTATTGTAAGAATGAAATTGGATAAAATATGTAAAGCACTTAGCAAAGGACCTGGTTCATACTAAGTGGTCTGTAAATTGTACCTGCTACTGTTACTACTGCTTCTCTTCTTCCTCCTCTTCAAAGCAGAAGGACAACCTCCAGATTGTCTATAAAAAGTGAACTAAATGAACCTGATGGACAGGCTAAAGCCTGCACAAACTGGCATGCCTCTAGTGACCTTTGACTATTTGATATGAGTAGTCCTCAGTGCAATGGTAGGAGTCTTTCAGTTTGTCCCAGTGATATGAAAAAAGCAGAATTTTTGATAACAAAGGTGTAAATCCACTGAACTGTATATACTTTTGGAAAACTGGCTTTGCATTTCAAATAAAGACAGTTTTGTAAGGGGTAAGTTCACTATGAAAAGTCATAATATTATAGAACACTTTAGAGTATTTTCATAGAGCATCATGCAATTATAGTAAAACAAAGGCTTTGGAATAAAGACTCTGAAAACGTTAATGTACAATCTTAAAAACATAAGATTTCCTTAATGTTTCTATTTCTTTTCACAAATAATTCTCCACTTAAATTGAATGCAAGCAAGAGAAATCATTTGGGATAAACTGTCCTGTAAATATCTGTGGTTCACTCTGTTATTAACATGGAAATGCAGTGAACCCCCTGCCATAATACAACAAATGGAGTCTAAAAGCTTCAGTCATGTTATTGGAGGATAGTGAAATAACTCCTAGATAGCCACTTGGAAGATCCAAGTGTGTCGAAGCCAATCACCAGTTGTGTTCTATCAGAATTCAAGTTGCTGGGGGGTATATTTGAATGCTAATGACATGTCAAAGAATTTTGATAATGGCAGTGACTTTTTTTTTTGGAAAGAGAAAAGTACTTGGGAAAATCATACTTTGACTTTTGATTTAGTTGTCAATTTTGTAGAAAAACACTGTATGTTATGGCTAAACCTTTTTTGATTGTGACCCATAAGAAGAGATACATTTTACCTTGTGAACATTACTTACATACAAATAGGAAACTAAAACAAAATTTTATGAAACAACATGCATTCCAGTATTTTCTGTTATATTCTATTTCAAGTTTTAAGAAAATGCTGTGTGTAATTCACTGAACTAATTTTATGAGTTACAACTTGCAGTTTGAAAAACGTTGCATCAGATGACTATGTATTAAGTGGAACTTCAGAAAAGGAATTCCAGGTTATTCCAGAAGCTTAAGATCAGCACAGTTTCACTAGCAGTATATCCCACATCATTAATAATTGAAGATTAATAGGTGCCAACCCCACATTATTTGGCTGCCTGGGCTGATTTTTTTTTTAAGAAAGAAAGATACATGTTTATTTACTTGCATATGTATAGAATCTCACTGGAAGGATACACATGAAGTTAACAATAACATGAGTTGCTTGAGGGACAGAGAACTCCGTATCTGTGAGCAGAGGTGAGGGTAAGACACTTTAAGTATAGTATATCCTTTAATTTTTCATTCTTAAAATTTGAGTCATGTGAATATATTTATTCTAAAAGTTAAATTAAAAATAATAAATTCTGCTTCTACATTATTAGAGAAAAAAGGGAAGGAAGGACTCTAACATGAATCAGGGTTTAGCAGTAGAAATTGCTGTGATAGATTAGCAGTGTCTGGCACAGGAGTGGGAGTTATAGTCTGTGTGCTGTTTGCTACCTGTGATCTACCTGTTGATTGACAGTACTATAAAAGAATGTTTAAATGACTCATTAAAAAGGGTCAGTTTGTGTTCCATGCTCTGCTTATTATAGTGAAGTATATACTTTATTTTAGAAAGTTTTTTTTCAATAGAAGGTGGTTGATTTAAACATTTTATTGCTAAAGTAGAAGCTTTTTAATTTTTAATGTCTTATTTAGAAAAAATTTCAAGCTTTCAGAAAAGTTATACAAATAATACCTGTTCCCAGGCTCATGTTTTGTTAACATTTTACACCATTTGCTTTATTGTTTTATCTACCTACCTATCTATCTGATTTATTTTTATCTGTTACTTGAAGAAACTTACAAATACTGTGCCCCTTTATTCCTACTACTTCAAAGTATATTTCCTAAAATTAGGGATATTCTCTTATGTAACTATAGTACAGTCATCAGGTCTAGTAAATGTAATATTGATACCATGTTTTTACCTAATCTGCCTATTTTCCATTTTTGTCAATTGACCCAGGAATGTCCTTTATAATAAACATTTTCCCCCCTCTCTGGCACAGGATCCAGACTAAGGTTAAGTATTACATGCAGTTGTGTCTTTATTTATTTTTAATATATATTTATTTTACTTATTTTTTAGGGGAGGAGGTAATTATGTTTATTTATTTATTTTTAGAGGAGGTACATACTGGGGATTGAACCCAAGACCTCATGCATGCTAAGCACATTCTCTACCACTGAGCTATTCCTTCCCTGTCACTTGTGTCTCTTTGGCCTCCTATGATCAGAAACATTTCCACAGCCTTTTTTTTTTTAAACAACATTGAGATTTTTAAAGAATACAGCCTTCCCTTCACTTTAAAGAAAATAGAATGTTGATCATTCTGATACTCCTTCATGATTAGATTCAGATTATGTGTTCTAAGCCAGAATACTACATAGCTGATATGTCTTACTGAAATATTGCATGTGGAGGCACAGGAAGCCCATCTGCCCTTCATTAGTGATGTTAGAGTATCCTTGGTCGAGGTTTTGCCTAGTTTCTACTGTATAATAAATATTTTCCCCTTGTGGCCAATAAGCAATCCATGAGAAGACACCATGCAAAATTTCCTGCTCCTCACCAAAATATCCACCTAGATTTGGCATCCATTGATTATCTTTGCTTGATCCAATTTTTACTATGTTGGTTGCAAAATGTAGATTTTTCCAATTCTAGCACTGTCTCCCCATTTACCAGTTGGCATTCTTCTATGAACAAGAGTCTTCCTTTCTTCCCTTTTATTTGTTGTTATGAATGCATAAACTCTCCCCCCACCCCCAATGATTTGCAGTTCATTATTATGTGAAGAGAGGATTTGATGCTGGGGTCAGTGGATGACTTCAGGAGGTCAATAATCACCTTGAAATTATATGCCAAGTTCTGTGTTGTTTTTTCTTCTTTCTGGGCAGGGTGTCCATAACTTTCATTAGAACCTAAAAAGTCCTTGATTCAAACAGTGTTAAATTCTTACTAGGTTGAAGAGTTGAAATCGTAAGGTATCTGTAACTTTTATATATTTGTATGTTCTTTCCCTTGTTTTCTACTCCAAGTGATAAATAACTGAACCATAGTATATGTCCCTCACTAGGTACATTCCATCTTTTGGTCTACTGTTTTTAAGCCACAACTGAAAATAGTATTATATTTTGGTTCCTTTAATTTTTTGCTGAAGTATGTGATAAATGTTAATATCTTTATTGCCTCTGTAGCAGCAGTTTATGGTAAATAGAGCCAGTCTTGTGAAGCAACGAATTACCTTGATTACATTTGAAATTTTAAATCCAATGTTTTTTACACTGTAGTTTTATTAGCTCTCTGGGAGTGAGCTACATGATGTTGTGCACTGAAAATTACCCAAATGTTCTGGCCTTCTCTTTCCTGGATGAGCTTCAGAAGGAGTTCATTACTACTTATAACGTGATGAAGACAAATACTGCTGTCAGACCATACTGTTTCATTGAATTTGGTAAGGGCCTGATTTTTTTTTTCCTTTTCATTATCCTGTCTCCATCCAATCATAAGCAATTTCTCATCTAATACTGAGGGGCAAAGGGAAAACAGAAAATTCTGCTGTCTTGATTTTGATAGAACAGTTTGACAAATGGTCTGTAAATTATGACAACTTCTTCATTTAGGTGCCTATTAGAAAAATTGTATTTGAGCTGTGTAGGAGATTGTGATTACTTATGCAAAGAATTAATCCCGGAGGACAGTTTCTCAATGACAAACTTATAAGCCAGAGATTCAGAGTTTTGCGTTTATGTGATAATATTTTCAGGCTGCTTAATGTAGAACAAACGGTGGCAAACATTTGTTGAAAAGGACAGGATAATACAATTTTAGGCTTTAAGGATCATATAGTCTCTGTCACAGCTACTCAGCTCCTGCTATTACAGCTTGAAAGCAGCCATTTGCAATGAATAAATGAATGAGTATAGTTATATTCTGATAAAATTTTATTTACAAAAATCAGCAGGCTAGATTTGGCCTGTGGACATTAGTTTGCTTGACTCCTGATGTAGAAGGAAAAAGAAAAGTAAATCCAGGTTGTAAATAGTGAAAATAAAATTGGAAGATACTTAGGAAGTGTCTTTTATTGATTTCATTAAATGTTTTCTTTAAAACATATATTCTAGTGATATAAGCAATACATAAGAAAACAGATTTATATGAACATGCAATTTATAGTGTATGTTTTAATGTAATTACAACTGATAAATACTGACAGACTTATGTTTATGAGATTAGAACCCCTATAAAAATAAAGACTTTGATTTAAATTTAAAGGGAGCTGTTTTTGGGTTTTTTGTAGAAGTTTAAAGTAATTCCTTGAAGTGGATATAATAGAAATACTCTCACTGTCATGTGATGTTAAAACCCTAGTTTATTTACAATTATTAATTTCTAGAGTATAAATTCTGGTGAGAAAAACTGATGACGCCATGATATATTAACCATTAAACACAAATAATATTAGGACATTCCATGACAAATTGAACAGTTTGGAGTAACAAATTAAACTGTTTATTGCAAAATTTACTATCCATAAACATCATACTCTCAAATGATTTAATTAACGAATGACTGCAAGGAAATTTATTTTTTATTTTACATAGATAACTTCATTCAGAGGACCAAGCAGCGATATAATAATCCCAGGTCTCTTTCAACAAAGATAAATCTATGTGATATGCAGATGGAAATCAAGCTGAGGCCCCCTTATCAAATTTCCATGGGTGAACTGGGGTCAGCCAATGGAGTCACATCAGCATTTTCTGTTGACTATAAAGGTGCTGGTAAGATTTCTTCCGGTGAGTTCTGGATCTCAATTACTTCATTGAAATTTTTTTCTAAGACTGAGGAACTCTTAAAAACACTTTACTCTAAAATTTAATTATTTAAAAATTTTAAAGCAGGTATATGGGAGAATGTAGAAATTCAAAGTAATCCTTTCTCCCAGTATTTTATATAGTAATCTCTCAGATATGTGACTAATCAAGAAAATACTTTTAAACAACAGTCGCAAAGGAACTCTTTGCTAGGGAAACATTTAAAAAGGTTTCTTTGTATACATTTTTCTAAAAAAGAATAGTAGTTTATTGTAATATATACATGGAGGCATGTAAAGTGCTTTGTGTTATGTAAAAATGGCTACATTCAAAGCCAGGGTTCTTGACTGTCACAGAAAATGTGATTATCTACTCAAACCTCCCTCTTAAACAAGGAATACCATCCTCAACAGTTGTGACATGTTGAAAATTTCTATTTAAAAGCAGAACTCTTGTTATTTTATGAGGTAATATATGCTGTTGTTGACTTGCTTATTTAAAAAATTCTTTCTTCTGTTTTGAGCTAAAATCTATTCTCTATAATGCCTACATTTGTTTAATTTCTTTGACCTCTCCCTCCTGCTCTTCAGCTGTACCAGAACTTTGAAGTCAGCAATTCTGTGTCCTTTCTATCCTATTAGTCTGATTTGCTTCATATAAAATGGGCTCAGTTCCCTTAGCCTTTTTGTCTATGGTATTTTGAAACCCTCCCCATCCTGGAAGCTTCCCTTGTATATACTTTTGTTAGTATTCTTCAGATGTGACATTCAGGGCTGAACACAACACTTCGTATTTGGTTTGATTAATACAAATTATGGGAGAAAAGGGGAAGCAGATTTCACTAAAATAATCCAGCTAGTCAGGAAACAAGTAAACAAGCAAGTAACAATAGCAAACCCTGGGGGAGAGGACGTGGATTAGTACCCAGAGTTGCTAAAGTATGTTACCTAAAATGTCCAGTTTCTAACAAAAAAATTTACAGAACATGCAAAAGAGTGGAAAGTGTAATTCATACATTGGGGAGAGTGAGGGGGTAAGGCAGGCAATAGAAATTGGCTGTAAGAGTGATCTGATGTCAAATTTAACAAAGACTTCAAAGTAGCCATTATGTTTATCTTCAGAGAACTAAAGGAAACCATGATTAAAGAAGTAAGGAATTTATGATGATGATGTCATATCACATAGTATTAATAAGAGATAGAAATTATAAAGAAAAAGGACCAAATGGAAATTCTGGATTTGAAAAATACAACTGAAATAAAAATTCACTAACACCGTTGGGCTCAATGGTGGATTTGAAATGGCCGAAGAGTTAGCAAACTCGAAGATAGATCAATAGAGATTATGTAATTCAAAAACAGAGAGAAAAATGAATGAAAAAAAAAGAACAGAACTTCAGAAAAATATGGGGCACTATATGCATGATGGGAGTACCAGAAGAAAGGAGAGAAAGGAGCAGAAAAAGTATTTGAAGAAATAATGGCTGAAGAGTTTCCACTTATTCCTCCAGGAAGCTCAAGGAACTCCAAGTAGGATATACGTATCTACATGTAAGGATCTCTTACATGTATCCTACTTGAAATTCCACAAATAGGTGAATCATATTAAAAATGCTGAAAGACAAAGACGAGAAAATCTTGAAAGCAGAAAGAGAAAAACAACTTGTCACTTACAAGGGAATCACAACAAGATTGACAACTGGATTCTCAACAGAAACAATGGAAGCAAGAAGTTGGTGGGATAACATTCAAAATATTCAAAGGGGGAAAAAAGAAACCTCAACCAAGAATCCTCTATCTAGCAAAGCTATCTTTCAAAAAGAAGGTGAAATAAAGGTATTTTCAGATAACCAAAAGATGAGAGAATTTATTGCTGACAGACTCGCTGTAAGGAATTACTAAAGGAAGTTCTCAATGCTTGAAACCAAGACCCAAACTTTATCCCTTCCCACCCGCTTACCCTCCAGTAACCAGATGATTTACTATGTCTATGAGTCTGTTTCTGTTTTGTAGGTTAATTCGTTAGTGTCGTCTTTTTTCTTTTTTTGGATTCCACATGAGTGATACCATATGGTATTTTTCTTTCTCTTTCTGGCTTACTTAGACTATCTCCAGATCCATCCATGTTGCTGCAAAAGACATTAAAAGAAAAACATTAAACCTAAAGCAAGTAGAAAGAAGGGGATAATAAAGATTGAAGCAGAAATAAATGAAATAGGAAGTAGAAAAACAATAGAGGAAGATCAATGGAATCAAAAGCTGGTTCTTTGAAAAGATTAACACAGTTGACAAACCTTTAGCTAGATAGACCAAGAGAAAAAGAAATTCCAAGAATCAGAAATGAAAGAGGGGACATTATACTAACCTTGCAGAATATAGGATTTTAAAGGAATTCTATGAATAATTGTATGCAAATGAGTTATAAAACTTTGATGAGATGGACAAATTCTTAGAAATACACAAACTACAGAAATTAACTCAAGAAGAAATAGACAATCTGAATAGACTTACAACAAGAATAGAGATTAAATTAGTAATAAAAAACTGCTCACAAAGAAAATTCCACATCCAATGGCTTCACTGGTGAGTTTTATAAGATAGTTAAAGAATTAACCAATTCTTTACAAACTGTTCCCAAAAATAGAAGAGAAGGAATAATTTTCACCTCATTTTATGAGGACAGTCTTATCCTTGTACCAAAACCAAATAAAGACATCACAAGAAAACTACAGACCAACATCTTTTATGAATATGGACACCAAAATCCTCAACAAAATACTAGAAAACCAGATCCAGCAACATATAAAAACTATTATACACCATGGCCAATTGGGATTTATTCCAGTGCTGCAAGGTTGGTTTAACATCTGAAAACCAATTGTGATACATAGTATCAGTAGAATTAAAAAAACCCACATGATCATCTCAATAGATGAAGAAAAAGCTTTTGACTAATCCAGCAGCCTTTTATGATAAAAACACTCAACAAACTAGAAATAGAAAGGAACTTCCTCAGCCTGATAAAAGGTATCCACAAACCCCCACAGCTAACCTCATACTTAATGATGAAAGACCAGATGCTTTCCCTTAAGATCAGGAACAAAGGCAAGGATGTCTGCTCTTACTGCTTCTATTCAGCATTTTACTGGAGGTTCTAGTCAGGGCAGTTAAGCAAGGAAAAGAAAAAAAGGCATCTAGATTGCAGAGAGAAAATAACTATTCTCATATGAAAATCCTAAATAATCCCCTAAAAATGTATTAAACTGATGCATCTAACAAGATTGTAGGATACAAGATCAAAATACACAAATCAGTTGTATTCTAAATACTAGCAATGAACAATCTGAAATGTAATTAAGAAAATCTTAGCAACTGCTGGCCAGAACAAGACAGGTTATACTTTCTGTCGTTTGCAACTGAAAAGAAGGAAAAAATCCCATATGCTGAAAACTACAAAACATAGGAAGAAGTTAAAGAAGATCTAAATTAATGGAAAGTAAAGTAGACCTTGTGTTCATGAATTAGAAAACAGTATTATTATAATGGCTCTACTCCTCAGTTGATAGACAGATTCAGTGAAATCTCTATGAAAATTCCTTTTTTTTTTCCAGAAATTCACAAGCTGATCCTTAAATTCATATGGAAATACAAGTGACCAAGAATAGTCAAAATAATCTTGAAAAAGAAGAAAGTTGGAGGGCTCACTCTTCCAAACTTACTGCCAAGCTAGTTAATCAAGACTATGCAGTTTTCATAAGGATACACATATAGATCAACAGAATAGGATTGAGAGTACAGAAAGAAACCCTTACATTTTGATCAATTCATTTTTAACAAGGATGCCAAAGCAATGGTGAAAGAATAGTCTTTTCAGCAAATGATACAGGGACAAGTGGATGTCCACATGCAAAAGAAAAATGTTAGACCCCTACCTCACAAAATATATTAAAATTAACTCAAATGGATCAAAGACCTAATTTAACAGCTAAGACTATAAAGCTCTTGGAAGAAAACATAGGTGTAAATCTTTGTGACTTTGTATTAGACAATTTTTTTTTTCAGATTTGACACTGAAAATACAATGAAAAAATAGATAAGGTGGATTTCATTAGAATTTAAAATTTTGTTCTTCAAAAGACACCATCAAGAAATTGAAAGGACGATTCATAGACATGGAGAAAATATTTGCAAATCATATATCTTATAAGGGACTCATGTCCAGGATATACAAGTAACACAACTCAAGACAATCCAATTTTAAAATGAGAAAAGGATTTGAAGATACATTTCTACAAAGAAGCTATGCAGCTGACTAACTAGCATATGAAAACATGCTCAAGATTATTAGTCATTAGTAAAATGCAAAGCAAAATTATAAGGAGATAGCACTTCACATCCACTGGGATGGCTGTAATAAAAAAGACAGACATAACAAGCATAAGCAAGGTTGTGGAGAAATTGGAATCTTCTTACATTGCTGGTGGGGTTGTAAAATGGTGCAGCTGCTTTGGAAAACAGTTTGGAAGTTCTCTGAAGGGTAAACAGAGTTACCATATGACTTGGCAATTCTACTTCCAGATATATACCCCAGAAATTGAAAATATATGCCTAAACAAAAATGTATACATGAATATTTGTAACACCTAAAAAGTGGAAATAACCCAAATGTCCATCAACTGATGAATGAAGACAAAAATATGATATATTCATACAATGGAATATTACTAAGCAATAAAAAGGGAATGAAGTATTGATACATTGTACAACATGAATGAAGTTTAAAATGTTATGCTACATGAAGGAAGCCAGATACAAAAGGTCACGTATTTGTGGTTCCATTTATACAAAATGTCCAGAATAGGCAAATCCATAGAGACAGAAAGTATATTAGAGGTTGACGGGAGCTGGAGGGAAGTAGACAGTGACTACTGATGGTTATGAGGTTTCTTTTTTGGATGAAAAAAATGTTGTGGAATTGGATGA